CCATTTCCTATGTCTGCTACGACTGCATCAGCTGAGTATACGCCTTTCTTCACTGCACCACCACCACCACCTCCTCCTCCTCCTCCTCCTCCAGCTCATCACCAATCATCGGCAGATCCTTTTGCGCCTGCACCTCAATATAACATGAGTTACTTTCCCATGTCACCATTGACGGTTGCATCGCCAGCCAATGTAACACACATTGGATCTCCACTCAGTCATATTAGTCCAAGCGAGCAAGGGTTCTCGGATCAGCTTTCCCCTACGATCGTGTCACCGACGGGTCCATTCCACGGTGGTTCACCAGCCGAGATATTCCCGCTTTCGACAAGATCGGAGCATAGCCCTGGAACTGGAACCTTCAGTGACAATCTGGTGATGCAGGAAATGAGCGACATGTATTCAAAGCAAACATTGAATTGCACGACGGCATCAATCTCTCCTTCTTTACAAGGACATAATTTTGCGCCAATGTCTTTCTCCTTGCTGGACCCGGGCGAGGACAATGCGAGTTCCCAACCGCAGAATCCGCAGCAGCAAGGGGCATCCATGCCTTACACGGACTCCAGCAACCTCCGAACCAAATTCTGAACCATGAAAGGGGGTTAGTGCGGAGACTTGTTACAAGACACCCCTTTTGAGAATTGACCAAGCTTCTTTCGTGGACGGAAATGCGAAACAAATATAGTGTTCGATTCCGGATTTATCAACCTGTGTATATCTCCTTGGGTTCTTTTTTTTTTTTGCCTTTTTCCTTTTTCCTTTTGGTCTCATCTTCTTCCTTTCGCCTATTTTCGTTCTTCTGTTTCTTTCTCATTTTTTCTTTGGCCTTCAATTCTTCTTACTTGGTCCTTCCGCTAGGTCCGGGCTCGCGTGGGTTCCAGGTCTGAATCAATCAGATCATGAAACTACCTCAGCAGTTCCAAGGCTTTTTTTTCTCTCTTTCTCCTTCCAGTCCAACTGCGACAGGAAAGGGAATCAAGAGCAGGGAGGCGCTTCCAGCACGGATTGAGCTCCCATTAATGAGCCGACCACCATCACCATCACCTCTTCGGATTCCTAAGATCACTATCGTCTTGTTGCAGGCATTCCAGTGATCTTCTGGCGTGACGAGAGAGGGCGCATCCTTCGCCTTTCCGGGTCATCATGCCGGCCTGCAACCGGTAGTGATTTTTTGACATCGCTTCATCTTGCTCTTTGACACCATTCTCGGTGAAAACTCTACTTCTCCCATGGTTTGTCCATTTTCTTCTCGGCTTTTTCTACATCACATCCTTTTTCTTTTTCGATACTCCTGTTACCCCTTTCCGTTTTGCACGTTATTTTTTTTTTGTTCTTGTGGATGCCCCATCTTGTATAAGGCAATGGTGGCTCCTATGCATCGTATCTTCCTTCCCTCCACGCCTTCGCGCATATTCTGCGAGAGGCCTTAGCAAGCAAGTCGGACAGGTTCCATTGTCATGCATTTTCTTTCTTCTTTCCCCCTTTTTCTTTCCCCCTTTTTCTTTTTCTTCTTCTTCTTCTTCTTCTTCTTCTTCTTCTTTTCTGGACTTTTCCTCTTACTTTCTATTACTCTGTACTTGGTCGGACACATGATATCCTATTCGCCATTTCGCAAATAATATGGCTTGCTTGTCATTTAAAAAACTCACTGTGAGGTGCATTTCCTCGCTCTGTAAATTGTATAATTCACATATCGTTATTTTGCTTCTTTTTTTTTCATTCTTATTCTACCTTGGAAAGAAGATGGATCTTTTCTCCCTGCAAAACGCTGAGCGCAGATGAATCTCAAAGATAAAATCTCTCACAAACATTCTGATTCTCAGACCACGCGCGGTAAAAAGCATCCGTAACCAGAACGAGCATCTATCTGATGGATCAGCACAGAAAGGAATACACGAAGGAGAGATAACATTGTCTGATTAGCAATGCATGCCCGGTACCAGAGCTCCCCTTTTTGAAAGCTCCAGTCTCTTTCGCGCCTTCGGCTTGCAAGAGAAAAAGAAAAAAAAAAAAAAGAGAGACATGCCTATTAGTACGTATGCCCTTTGAGACATAACATGGGTCAGGAAAGGGTGAAGGAAAGGAGACGTGGCGAACCCATGGACCCGAGACAAGCCTCCTGTGTCATTGACGTTCGAAACAACTGCAGCTGAAGCTGACTCTGGCTCTGGCTCTGGCTCTGCGTCTGACTCTGACTCTGACTCGATTGCCATCACGCGATCCAGGCTTCGGCTATCATTGCAATCATGTATGTAGGTACGTATGTATGTATATATACATACGAATGATGTATATACCGATGTGCCATAAGCAACCGCGAAGCATCCCCGTGCAGTTGGCCCTGTTTGATACGATAGCCGATGAGTGTCATTCGGTAAAGGTCAATGCGACAAGTGATGAGGTTGATGATCAGGACTGAGATGAAGCCATACCAATCTCATTCATCTGAGGGGTTTCCGCAAAGGGACTTTGACTGCTTCAGTCGCTCAGGTGCATGCAATACAGCAAACATCATTGTACTTGAGTAGCAGTTAGCGTTAACGTTGATTTTTTGTTGATTTTTTGTTGAAGATGTGCCATCGAGTTGACAGTCATATTGTGCGGTTATCCATATGTATAGATATGACTTGACTTTTTTCGGTACAAACGAATGCGCCGGCTCAATGGTCTAGAGGTATGATTCGCGCTTTGGGTTTATTTCGACTGAAATGCGCGAGGCCCCGGGTTCGATCCCCGGTTGAGCCCGGATATGTCCTTTTTTTTTTCCTTTTCTTTTCTTTCTTCTTTCGTTCCTCATCTCCTTCATTATCATGAAGTCTGCGAGAACACATATTGCTGGAAGATATCCGGGAAGCTTGCTCCTTCTTAAATCAGGGTTAGCAATCATGTTTGTCAGCACAACATCTTTCGCCATATCGAGATGCTGCTGCACATTGTAAGAACTTGACTACTTATCAGATGCCCCCCCCCCCCACCTAATCATGTCATTGTTCGTCCGGCAAAGTAGCTCTCATTTCGACGACTATCAAGGACTACTTTCAATGAGCCCAAGCAGACCGTTCTTCACTGCATTCTAGACGTCATCATGTATGTATCTGTACACGGCGACCTGTATATTCGTATGTATGTATGTATGTATGTATGCAGTACTGCGTGGGCGCGTCCGGCAGAATCATTTACCTGCGCAACCTCCGCATCTCCGCGGGCAAACATCATGGCCGCGTTTTCTGGTGCTTCGACTTGACGTCGTTCGTTTCCTTGAGTCTGTGATGCTATCTTGATATGTCAAGGTCATCCATCGCAAACTATCACTTTACACGTCATCAGGTTAATGAAACTATTTACTCGATCAAGGAGCTATTGTGCGATCCATTATTCTTGATGAGAAGGAAACGGGGAAAATAACACCAAGAAAACAGCATAATCTCCCCCGCCCCGTTCATAGTAAGAACAAAAATTTCTACACAAAAAGCTCAGCAGCTCTAACAGGAGTGCTGTGACATCTTTGATATCGATTATCTTATCGCGTCGAAAGCTATACATCTTCATTATCTACGGCATGGGCAAGCTCACCAGCACGATTGGCATTCCAATCAAGCTTCTAAATGAGGCCCAGGTAAGTTGGCTTGAGCGACGGTTTTGACTTGATGAGAACACCTGCTATCCGAGTCAGGCAGCATGACTGCTCGAATTTGCACGTTGATGGCATTGATACGTTGTTGGCAACAACACGAGGATGATGTGCTGACTCCACTTAAAAGGGTCATGTCGTTACTCTAGAGATCACATCCGGCGAGGTATATAGAGGGAAGCTACTTGAAGGTGCGTTGCGACACCACACGTTTTCTTTTCTTTTCTTTTTTTTTTTCTCTTCTTGTTCTTATAGACATCCGCATCGCGCTGCTTTTGGGCTCAAATCCTGGCAGTGACCGACCCAGCGTGCATATATGCTGACTGTGAACTTTTTCCTCTATAACTATGCAGCCGAAGATAACATGAACGTACAACTCAAAGATATAACCGTCACCGCGCGCGACGGCCGAGTCTCACATCTCGATCAGGTTTATATCCGGGGAAGTCATGTCAGGTTTGTCATCGTGCCGGATATGTTGAGGTACGATCATGGACTCTTTTTTTTTTTTCGCGGCACCCCCGGATTTGGAAGTCCTTCCTGATGCTCGCTGTGAGGAAATTGCTGACTGGATTTCCTTTCGCCTTCTTGCAGAAACGCACCGATGTTCAGATCCAGAGGACAACGAGGTAGAGGTGTTGGATTGGCTCGCGGTCGTGCTACAGTCAACCGAGCAAGGGGCCAACGACGAGGTTAAGCTGTCCGTTAAGTAAATGCGGAATTGACGCGTCGACGATCTAGGAGTCCCACTGAGAAGGAGGAGTGGTGATGATTATTCCATATCTTTTTCTTCTTTTTTTTTTTCTCATTTATTTTTTTTCTTTCTTTTCTTTTCTTTTTTTTTTTTTGTTTTCTGCGACATTCACCTATCAACCTTCGTTGTGCTTTTGTTACATTCATTGCCGCGAGCATACCAGTACATGAATTGCCAATTCTCGATCCATCTCTTCTTATGAACAAAACATTGACAATGACTAGTTTACTTCCTAGTGTTGCAGTAAATATTGTATGCTGGTGACAAGTAGGATTTTTATAATCTGCTGTTCTTGGTGGCTACGAGTATCAGTAGCGATTGATATTAGGATAGCTGACCATCGGTTACCGCTACTACCCCGAATGAAATGCGTCATCGTGATAGAACTCGCACTTACATGATCAGATCAGATTCCAGCCGCGTCACTTCACTAATATCTGCACCCAGCCATTGCCACCGTCTCTTCGTGATATCCAACTCTCTCTCTCTCTCTCTCCTCTCTCTCACTTACTCACCCACCACTCGTCTCTAAGTACTTCTGAGCCTCTGTCATAGGGAAGTGGAGGACCTCTGTAGCGACAAGACTTCCGCAGCACTTGCCATAACTGCTCATTGAGTCTTCTGATGTTTTCTCATGACCTTTCGTCGTTGAGACATCATGTGCGTGTAGAGGATATAAGATCCTTCCAAGTACCGTTAGTCTTTGCAAGAACACATCCTGCAATGAAGGAGCTAAGAGAAGAGAAAGTCGACTCACCTGGGACGTAGATGACCAGAACAGCAAGGAACAAGCCGGCGAAGAGGTCGTGAACTCGGCGAGCAGGAGTCAAAGAGAGGTACGTGAGAGTGCACTCGCTGGCAATGCCGATAGGGTAGAGCACGAAGAACATGTTATACCTACCACATTACCGATTTTCATGTTAATCAAAAAATATCACCCTTCTTCGAACGACGGACAGACATGGGAAGACGATAAGACGTTACCTTAGCCATTGAATCACCGCCGGCGTCTTCATACCAGCCACTTGCATACAGAAGAAACTGTAGCGCACACATTCCGTGATACTCCAAGCGATGATGCAGCCCACGAAAGCATAGCTGCCAATTCCATTGGGTCTGATGATATCCTCAACTTGATCCGCGACACCGTTGACGAAGTAACCTCCACGGCCAAAGCAGAAGAGTACCGGCCACACGACGAATAATCTGCTTGCGACTTGCATCAAAGTCGTCATGAGAGATGCCCGCACGATCCGTAATAGAGAGTGATTCACCTCCAGAACAGCTAGGGTCTGAGTCCATAGAAGCGTCGGGAAAATTGCTTCGTAGATGAATAAGAGGTCAACGCCGGAATGACCGACGAGATACTTTACGGCGAGATGACGGACGGTAGACACAAGAATATAACTCCAGAGGCCGAACGAGGTGCCATTGTAGAGGAATAGATAACCGTTGAGTAATACTGAAGGAAAGCTGTTCTCTGGCTTGACTGAAGCACCTCTAGTCAAGGAGGGGATTTCGCCAGCAGCGCTCATCCTCGGAATTTCGTTGAACAAGGTGATTGATGCGCTGAAATTAACAACTCGGCAACATCTCAAAAAGCAATGAGAAGGGTAGAAGTATTGCTTATGAGTGGTACGTGAATTGGCTCTGTCGATGCAGATTATATATGAATTGAGAAGAATTTGTATGCATATACTACGTATGTAGTAGTATAGATAAAATAAAAATACCAAAGTCAAGACGCCAACCCACTTGCTCGCGCTGACACTTTCAATATTATACGGAGGAATTCTACTGCAGACGATGGCGTACGCCGCAGATTGAAGGAAACGCACCAGCACCAGCCATAATAATGATAACGACTTAGGTCCGATAGAAGATGGTCTGGTATGAAATCTCAGCGACCCACGGTATACTAATCCAAACTGCTGGGATATCATGAGAGCATAAGGGTATTCAATGCCAAACAAAAAGAAGGACGGGAAACGCGAACTGGTATCAAGAACGGGGAATTGATGAAAAAAAAAAAAAACAAAAAAGAAATGAAAAAGGGGACATATAGACAAAAAGGAGAAGTATGCACTGGTCCAGAAGAAGTGATGGAAAAGAGATAACGGGAATGGAGCAGAATTTGTAGGTCGAGAATCAAGAACCACTTTGGGGGCCTCCGAGCAGTTCCAAACCCCCTTGACGCAAAAGCTATTGAGCAGACACCTCCGACGTGATCCCACACCCATCAACGTCTCTTGAGTTTGGAGAAGCAGTGCTAGGAACATAGGATATGTTTCGTGAAGCTGCCGGTTCAGCATGCTCTATCTCAGCAACAGTGTATTCAGAATCCAACGACTCAATCTTGCGTCGCCTTTCGAGCAGTTGCTCCACGTGCCGCACCCTCTCCTCTTCTTCTCGTTCACGCACGAGGTCTTGCTGTGCTTGTTTGGAGGAATCTGGTCTCCAACTTTGCGCCATTTCAAGGGCAGACGCGTCCTCAAAACGTCTGCGAGCGTATGGATCCTTCTCGTACTCTTGGAAGATCTCAATATCTGAAGGGAAGAAAGATGCGCGGATGGCACCAATGAGGAGTTCGTAGGTTATGCAGCACATAACGCTCAGAAGCAAGATGGTCCACCAGAGAAGATTGCGGCCAGTGTTGTGGATGAAATTGCCCCTAACTTTGTAGATCTTATTATCGTTATATCGCTCCGAGAGAAAGATGTTCCACAGCCACCAACCGCCAATGGATATAATGTTGACAGCCAGGGCAAAGTATGTGCGATAATGTATGATGATGCCTTGTAGCTTCACGTTGATGAGTATCACGGCAGCCGAGTACGTCATAAGTCCCAAAGGGAAAACGCTAATGTCATCGATGATCACTGCTTGGCCAAAGAGCGTGAACATCACGAAGTAGATCATGACAGCTTCGCAGACCGCATTAAAAGCCCAAAATAGGTACTTTTTGACATTGAACCCTTCGTGTCTTTGACCAATTCCGTAGAGTTCAGGCACTGCAAGGAGGGTCGCAGGGCTAAGATCTTTCTCAAGAATACCAAGAAAGATTACGGGCAGTGATGTGAAAAGAGTATTAAACATACTCAGGCCCCACGGCTCGTACAAACTCGTACCCGTATAGCCGTTCCATTTCTGATAAAGTGCCTGGGTGAGATAGAACAACATCTCTTTCCAAAATGTGCCAAGAGTGTATTTACACACTCGCACATAATTCCAACGCCCATGCACAAGTAAAAGTTTCAGCAAGAATCTAAACTGAGCAATGGAGTAATCGGATATGCGAGCGGCCTGGAGACCCTCCTTGCCGGCAATCCCGATGCCAACATGAGCCTCCTGAATCATCGC